CACTTAATGTTTATTTGCGCTTTCAACTTAAATTTAAGTCTTGTATTATCCATTTCCTTTTTTTTTTTTCCAAGGCAGAGACATCATTTTCTTGCTTATTGACGACCTTAGCAAAGAAACGAACATTGGGATCATCAGCAGGTTGTCCGTAGGACAGTATTACTTCGACTGTAGTAGTTTTTCATCTGCTTTTATGACGTGAAGATATGTTGTGGCCAAATGGCAGTTGACCAAAGCATCTGGGTAACTGGTTATGTCAAGATTTGCAGTACTGATTTTATCGTTTATTTCTTGATATCAGCTGATATAGGATACCAGGATACTTAAGCAGAATTATAAACGCTTATCCAACAATGAGTATTAGCTAGTAGTACAGTAGCTTGAATTTAAATCTACGGTATTTATGAAAAATTTTCAACAACGATATAGGGTGATTTAATAATTTAAAAAAAAGTGCCAGAAAGATTGAATAAGAATAATAATACTAAACAAAAATGTTTCAGTAAGTTAGACGGGATTTAGACATAATCAGCTATTATTTCACTTTAATAGTTTACTTTGCTGCTGTTGCATAGTAATCCGTCCTCCACTTAAAAAACGCATGCGCAGGATTTGTCGGAGCAAGTAAATGCGTTTATATCAGTGTATAGATGCTAGGTTTTTTTTTAATTTTTGTTTTTCTTTCTAAGTAAAAATTGATTAGGAATTTTCCAAATGATAATGGTAATTGTGATATGTAATTATAATCATTTTTTTTTTTCATGTATTGCTTAATGTATGATAGCTTCATCGCTCTTCACACATAATGTTCCATCTTTCTTTTGCATGCTTATTTCTTTAAAATTACTGGTTCTTCTTTAATGTTTGTGCAAGAGAAAACTGTAGCATTTTTACGGTGTGTATGTGTATATGTATGCGTGTTTGCAGACCCTAAAATTTTTTTCCCATTTTTGGGTTGGTATTTTTGTCTTACGACTGTTTTTACCCGGTAGCACTACGTTGAAAATATTTTTAAATCTGTATTTCTGGTTGAATCATTTAGCAAATCACTCTGAGCAAAACTACGTCAGACTTTTCCTGGGGCTAGTGTTTGCGGTTTGCATTTGAGCAAAATTGAATTGGAGGCGAAATTTTTGCCCCTGGCATGGTTTCATGAGTTATTTGAGTTTCCAAAAGTTACTCTTAGAAGTGCTTTCACATTGGTAATAATTAAAAAAAAAATTCTACATGAAAGCAAAGAAAATTTTTCAATTATTATGCGTTTTTTGCAGCTATGCAATGCAGAAAACGTGTGTGTGTCTGTGTGTTCGTCTGCACCGATTTTTTATCTCGAGACCGGCAAAAGTTACAGGGCTGGAACTTGGGGTAGTCTTGGGGTAATGTTCCCCGCCCAAGCGGCTATTAGTGGGCTCAAACCCAGCCCCCGAGTAAGCGTGGTACCC